CAGGCAGTGGAGACTCTCAAAACATGCTGTGAAGAGTTAAATGCAGACCAGAAAGAGTTAATCAGGCAAAACTCGAGCCTTAAAGATGAGATAACTGCTCTGAGAACCCAGGTGACACATAGACCAGATCAACGATCTTGGGCATCAATTGCCTCCAATAGCAGAATGAATGGCGAATCCTCAACCCCTCCACCGGCCCCAACGCCCGCGTCTACAAAAGCTGACAGGAAAGACCCCCCGCTCTGCGTCTGTATCAGTGTGGCACAGGCTTCCGACCCAATGGAATATGGAGGGTCCCTCACAAGATATCTCCCTGTGGAAGAGGTCAAAGCAAGGGTCACAGACGCCCTACAAAAGAATACACCAACCAAAGAAGTCAAGATCATCAGGGTAGGAATCACAAAAACAGGGTACATCATCCGCTTCCGGGATGAAGCCTCCAAAGACACTGCCAGTGTGAACAAGGGGTGGCTCTGGAACCTGGGAAACCAAACAAAGCTGGTCAGACCCAGATTTGGTGTGGTAGTACACCGAACGCCCACACATGAAGTCAACACCAAGGACAAACCAAAAAGCATGAAGAAGATATTGTGGCGGACGTAAAGCTTGCGAAAACAGAATTTTCTGCCACCCCCTGAAAAATAGTAGCAAAACACCGCAGAAATAACCAAAATATCCACGTATCTCTAGAATCATTCAAATATCATCCAATTCATTCAAATACGCACCTTTATCATCAAATCTGCACCTTTATCATCAAATCTGCCAATATGCCCCGCAACACCCACCGTTCTACTGCCTCGCAAGCTCGTAAAAGGACTCCAACTACCCTGCGCCTTCGTCTGTCCAAACCACCTGTTCCGGATGTTCCGGATAATGACGAGAATCCAACTGATGATGAGAAGGAGGATAAGGAGGAGGAGGAGGAGGAGGAGACACAGTCAGAAGATCCTCGATTTCTGCGAACACCTACCCCTGAGCCTGAGATCTCATTCAGGCTGTATGAACGGGTGATTATCAATGGGATAAAGTAGCCTATAAAGATCAAGTTACGGAATGTCACAACAAATGATATGACTGTCAGCTTCTATCGTATCCAATATCTCCCTCAACTCCTTCTTCATCTAATATTGTGTCTCCAAGTGAGATAATCAATGTGATGGTGATGAAATATATGATGGAAGGAATGGGAGGCATGGGAGGACTGAATTCAAACTTGTCATCGAATTCAAACTTGCCATCAAATTCAAACTTGCCATCGAATCCGAACCTGCCATCGAATCCAAACCTGCCATCGAATCCGAACCTGCCATCGAATCCAAACCTGCCATCGAATCCGAACCTGCCTCCTATTCGAAGTAGTCCAATCCCTCAGTTTGGTGAACACGCGGATCTGTTTAATGATGAGTTCTTCAACTGGTTGATGACAGAGAGACCTCGTAGGGCAGAAGCTCTTTTAACTGCAAAGAGCATTATCAGAAGAATCCACCCCAATTTTCCCC